GAGTGTCCACATCTGGACAGAGGAGGCAGATGTTTGGCAGGAGGAGAGGAAGCCATCTTTAACCGTGGTGGTTGGGTCCAGGTTTCACCTCCCAGCTCCTCCAGGAGCTTCCAGAAATTCACAGCTTGGAACCACCGTGTGGTTTAGAGTTCGAGAAGCGTTTAAGACGAGGGGAGAAACTTATAAAGACACAAGAAGAAGAAGAAGAGGGAGGAGTCGAGCTGGCTTTATTAACTCATTGACTGCCAGCCATTTTCAGAACAGAGAGTCGCTCACTGCCAGAGTTTTTTGAGCATTTTGACTGATTTTTCAAGAGCCACAGAATAGTTTGTGCTATGACTATGTAAACACCGAACACACCAAAAGAAAGAGTAGACTCTCTTCTTTCATCAGGAAAAAAGATTTTGTTTCTACCTCATTCCGTTCTTCTTCGACGTGCGTCTCACCGGCGCCATTTCTCTCATAGCGAACTATTGCGTTTGTTTTTATTTGCTTACAATCTATGCTAATCTCCCATCAAAAGTGGCACTGCCCCCTAGAGGGTCAATTTGTTACTACATACTCTGTCTAGAAGCCGATATTTACGGGAAAACTTTCGCCGATCGTCCCCCAAGCCACTCGCATTGAAAAACATAAAAGACGTCTATAGACGTCTTTGGCAGCCAATGAGTTAAATGATCACAGAGAAGCTAAAAGAGGCCCAGAAAAAAAGCTTAAACAATGAATGATCAAACCTTCTGAGGATTTGACTCTTTAGATCTTTTCACTGGATTTAAAAAGCAGTGAGAAGATCCGCTGCTGCCTTCTGGGTCTTCTGTGAACTTTGACCTGAGGCAGAAACTGAGTCGCTGCTAAACTAACCGGTTGAACTCTGTGTTCCAGCTCTCCAACGTGAAGGAGACCCCCCAGCACTCAGAGGAGGAGGTCGGGGCCTTCACCAAACTCATCGAGGCCATGGGCTTCACCGCACCGCTCAAATACAACAAATGGGTGGGTAAGGCACCCGGGGGGTCAAAGGGAAGCTGGCCCAGTCACATAAGTCTTAAAACAGTCTTAGAACACATAACCCCCCCCTAGTTTATTTATGTAGATACAGCAGAACCTCTAAAGAGGACTTTAACTGGTTCCAGGACCGACTTCTATGTTAAAATATTGGTATGTTGGTTCAAATCCTCCATCAGAATACTCTGTAATTCCTAGAATTGGTTCCAAAAACCTACAATAACTCCTTTAATAAATACTGCAGATAATTACACATAGCAAAAAAACAAATTACTTATAGAAGAGAGATGGAAAAAGAAATAAATGATAAATAAATAATTAATAAAAAGGGTTTTTATTGGCAGGTAGAGACTGAGATACAGGACCAACCCTAACTTACTCTGACTTTACTACCTGAACTTTAAACTAACTTATCTTATTTATTTTTATATTTTATTTATTTATGATTTTTTAAAATCTAACTTTTACTATGTGAACTTTAAACTAACTTAGTTTATTTTTTTTTATTACATTTTTATATTTAATCTTTTTCTATGACTCCAACGTCATATGTTGGAAATTTACTTCGAGTCAAATATTTGATTGAATTTCACTTCGGATGTTGTAATCTTCGTCCGTTTAAGCATTGTAAGTAGAGCTTCTGCTATACTGAGCTGGGAACCCGTTGTCATGCCAACACACGACCTCTGACCCCTGCATGTTGAACAACTTTTTATTTTATTTTATTTATTTATTTTTGTTTAATTTTTTAACTCTAGATGAAAGCTCTCTGCAGGCCGTTTAGCACCTGCAGTTCCCCTCCCGGCCGCCAGGGGGCGCCGAGCCATGTGTGGTTTGAGCGTTTAACACCAAACTGATTCAGAGCTTTTTGTCTTTCTGTCACAGAAGATAAAGATCGCTGCTCTGCGCATGTACACGTGCTGCGTGGAGAGGATCAACTACGACGAGTTCTTCGAAAGTAAGCCGCCGTCTTTGTTTTGGTGCTTTGAACCCGCTAACTTCCCAAAACAAAACTCAGCTTCCAGCTTTTAAACGTCTGCGATTTGAAAACGTAGAAAAATGCTGATTTTTACCCAAAGACTGCAGTAGGACTGGGCGATATGAGAAAAAGTTATATTTCGATTTAATTTTTTTTTCCCCCCAAAATGTTTGATTTCAGTTTTATATCACGATATGAACAGAATCACTTAAAAAAAAAAAAAAAAAAGTTTTCTGGAGTGACGTCATGAGTGACATCACCGGTGACATCACTGGTGATGTCATGAGTGATTTCACTGATGACGTCATCAGTGACTTCGTTGCCTGGCGGCCATCTTGGATCCAACACTTTCTCGTGAATTCTTATCTTTGTTTTGTTCTTCCCTGAATTCATGGGTTTTGGGTTGGTTGGGGTTGGTTAAGGTTTAGGGTTGGTTATGTTTAGGGTTGGTTATGGTTAAGGTTTAGGGTTTGTTTGGGTTAGGGTTTGTTTGGGTTTGGGTTAATTTGGGGTTTAGTGTTGGGGTGAGTCTTCGGGATGCCCGTACCGCTCTGCTGATGCTCTGATCTGCTCTGTTTCAGAGTGCTCCCTCCCAGACACCCTCAACTCCTGGT